TGGCATCATGCTATAAGAATGGTTCCTTCTCCAGAGTCTATAAATGGAATAGGAGGACTGCTGCAGATGCCTTCCACGGTATGGGAGGATGAACAAGTTTCTCAGATGCTCTCAGGTCATTCTCGTAAGAGGAAACTGTACTTCCTTATTATTGCTACTGTTCTGAACTTGCAACAGGAAATTTCTTTCTTGAGATACTTGATTTGTAAATCTGCAGACTTCTACACAAGAACAATCTTATTCTGCTAGTTGCCCTTCCGGAATATTGATGGCAGAGTCTACTTGAGTCTCCACGTCCACTGGGAGGATGGATGGATAATTAGAAACCCAGGAGAAGTTATTTGTGAATAAATCAAGACCATTGACTGCTCTCATACTGTTTTCTTGCAATCACGGCTACAGCGAGTCAGTGCATTAATTGACCATGTATGTCTCACCATCTTGGGACACAAGAACTAAAGATCATGTGGTTATTTGCAATATATATTTTCTCTCAACAGAAAAGGGAAACAGGTCATCAACAGTGCCACATAATTCCAACATTCTAGGTCTTTCTCATGCCTACAGTTCTTCAGCACTTACTGAAGCCAAGGGATTTTTGGACATGTTAGAATTTTACTATGAGCATATTTGACTTGCAAAAGCATATATGAAAGAACTGCCATATATATACATATATGTCTGTTTACAGTCAATCCTTGAACCACTGTACTGTTATAAAGCTTGATTGGCCTTTGCTTGGTCCCTGACTGGGCAAACATTTTCAAGTTGAATAATACTTTGGTTTTATTGAAAGCCATTATGAAAAATAACGACATGAAGTTTCTTTTGGTATTATATACAATATATTGTTGTTTTCCATTCCAGAAGTCTTGATTTGAAACACGAGTCCAAAAATTTTCCCTTTGGAAATTAGTGCTAAGAAGAGCTTTGCTTCCCTTGAAGAACTATCAGCCCCTTTTTGCAAATGGCAATTATGTAACTGGTTGGGGCACTTGACTAGCAGGAAGCTCAGTGGTTTAATTTGGTTACTCAATAGTATGTTTACTCTTACCTGTATGTTTTTCCTTGGATCCTATTATATGCTTCTAAATATTTATTTTTAAAAGTTTACTGTGCCTGTCTTTTGGAGCTATTCAAACCCCTCATTTAATGAAGTGGTGGGATAAGCAAATATTACAAATAAGTAACTTTTTTAAAAAGGGATCAAGTTTGGGAATAAAATAAAATGACCCCGTGGAATTCCCATGGAATTACTTCCTCACTACTTAAATCAATGTACTGGAGTTTCCTCTTTGGGAATTAAGCTTGGAACTCTTTTTTTTTTTTTCATTTCTGATTGAATGCAACTTTGGGAAAATTAGCTAAAAAGCTCTACCCTAGGGAGATGTCAACGTTAATAAAATTCTAAGGAATTTGCTAATTTCTAATAAAATGATACCAACTCATCATTCTCACCATAATCACAGCCTGTTAGAATTTTATGTACTGAATACTTTCTTTTTAGATAGAGAATAGTTTACGGGATCCCTGGGTGGCGCAGCGGTTTGGCGCCTGCCTTTGGCCCAGGGCGCGATCCTGGAGAACCGGGATCGAATCCCACATTGGGCTTCTGGTGCATGGAGCCTGCTTCTCCCTCTGCCTGTGTCTCTGCCTCTCTCTCTCTGTGACTATCATAAATAAATAAAAATTAAAAGAAAATAGAGAATAGTTTGAAATCATCAATTAAGCATATTTTTCTTTTTATCCCCTCATTAATGCATGAGAAATGTGACTATTTTATCTGTAAGTGAAATCAGTAGGGAGGGAATTTTAGTCATTTTTGATGGCAAAACTTCAAATTTTGAAGTTTTGAAACTTAAAATGTGTCAAGTAAACATTTTAAAACGTTGGAATGGGTATTATTTATATGATTCAAAATTCAAAAAATACAAAATTATATCTAGTGAAAAGTTTCTCTTCAAATCCTGCCCTCCAGCTGTCCAACTCCCTTCCAAGGTGCAATCAATCTCAGCAGTTTCTGATATATCTTTTCAGAGATATTTTATGCTTATACAAACAAACATGTATATATATATATATATATATATATACACACACACACACGTGTTTACATACAAGTGTATGTTTACATACATACAAACATGTATATATATATACACACACACACAAGTGTTTACATACAAGTGTATATGATTTTCCCCTTTTAATAGAAAATGTAGCATACTATTAGGTAGTTGTTTTACATTTTTAAAAATTGTGCACATAATGTGTCTTGGAGATCATTTCAAAAGACTACAAGGAGCTTTCCCTTTTAAAAAATGTTTTGGTTACTAGAACATAGAGCAGTGCTTATTAACGTTGGCATGTAACACATTTGTTTAAATGCAAATTTTCTTTTAGTTTCTCTTTTCTTTTTTTCTTCACTCTTTTCTTAAGCCCTCATAGGATGCCATTCACGGCTGTTTCATAGCTTACCAGTCCATTATTAATGAACATTTATACTTTTTTCAATCTCTTGTTATTGTAAACAATGCTGAAATGGATAAGCTTATACACATCTACCATTTCTCGTGTGTTGTAAGATGAATTATGTTTAGACTTACTGGCTCAAAAGACATGTGCTTTTATAATCTTGTTAGGTAGTATGAATTGCCCTCAGTGGAGTCATTTTAATGTACATGCACATCTGCATTGTGACTGCCTGTTTCTCCACTCTCTTGCTAAGACACAGTGGTAATCAAACTTTCTAATCTTTGTGGTTCTGATAAATGAAAAGGTGTTTTCTCGATGTAGTCTTAATTTGCATTTTTCTAGTGGAGATAAAAATTATGCTTTTTTTTTTTTTAAGGACAAAGGACCTGTAAGTTATGTGAAGTATTATCTGACCCTTAATACTGTTCCTGGAGCCTGCAGCAGGTTAACATTGGAGTTCAGAGATCAAGAACATGGCAAAATGCCCAGAACCAAGATGGAAAAAAAAAAATCAACAGGCCCCATTTCAAGCATATTTGCCTTGACAAAGTCCCTGATGATGTCCCTAGAAGGTAACTTCTGTTTTTATGTGCATGCAATTAGAAGCTAAGTTTCAGATTCCCCGAGGACCACAAAAGTTGCTTCTAATTGCTGAGGAGAGGGACATCCCCCCCCCTTTGCTTCAATCTATCTCTTGGAAAAATGAAGTAAAACAGGTTCTATATTTATAGATAAAACTAAGCCACACAATAGAACTGTGGGGAGTTGGACCAAATCATCTGGGTCACATGAGGGTTATAAAGATTAAATGATATGTTTAACACTAGGACTATTCTGCTTAGGAAGTAAGCATGTTGCTAATTAGCATAATTGCCTCATGACTTGTAATAACTATATCAGTGCATTGATGTGTTTTTTGGTTTTGGTGCTTTTGCATTCAGGAGAATCATTCAATGGTGTTTAATGCTCTTCTCTTTAAAAATAGTCACACACCAAAAAAAAAAAAAGTCACACACCTTTTAAAGTCACAAATATGTTAGTTACATGTCTGTTTTTGCAATAGGTACATCCAAAGCAAGTTGGCACGCGAAAGAATAGAAAGACAAGATCATGAGTTAGGCTAGATGGGTTTGCATCACCTCTCACTAGCTGTGTGACCCTGAGTAAGTCACTTGACTTCTGGGCTTTCATTTCTTCAGCTGAAAAATGGAGATAATAATCTGACCTATTTACCCTGGGTCTCACTGAGGAAATATTGGGACATTGTAATGTGAAAAGGCTTTGCAACTCTAAATGGCAATACATCTGTTAGTTGATATCACGTTGCTGGTACAGAAAACTTAGTCAAATACAATATTCTCAGATTAATCCCCTGAAAAAGCTTCTCTTAAAAAGCTTTTAGCAAATTCAAGCTGGTTATTATTATTATTCTTCTTTTTTTTAATTTGGGCCTGGGTTGTCTGACAATAGCGAAGCAACATTATCATACATATTATACATCATCTCTCGTAAGCGGAATAGCATCTTCGGAAAAGCGTTGAATGAAGGCTATATCTACAGAAGAAAACATTTTATGAGTCTAATAGACAGCTATGGATGAAATTCATTCATCTTAGCAAAGAAGGACTGCCTCTGTGTTTAGAGGAAAGTGGGTCGGACCTCGTTGGCCCCCCTAAGTGTTGTAGAGTCTTTCCACTTCTTTTTCCAAGGTCTTTCAGCTGAAGGCTCATTTCTTTAACCTCTCATAGGCGTTTGCTAGTCAACCTCTTAGTGGTACGAAGATAAAGCCGACCAGGAGTCGGACGCTCTCAAAAGACAGTCAGTGCCTGTTCCTAGCGGCCCTCGGTCGGGATAATTCTGCAACCTCCGGGCTCCCCGCCGCCCCTCCCCCCCGGCCCACCCCCGCTGCAGTGCCCGGGGGCTCGCTGGAGCCGGAGGCTCGCGGGGACAGCGCGGCGGGCCGGAGCGGGAGCCGGAGCGGGAGCGGGAGCAGGAGCGGAGCTCAGCTGCGACGGCCCGCGGGGACTTGAGCGGCCCGGGGACGCGCGGCTCAGCCAGGTGCGCGGGCAGCAGCCGCCGGGCGCCGCGTTGTGCACGTGGCAACAGGTGCAGCGTGGCCCTGGGCTGGCGTCGGGCGGGGGGGGCTCGGGGCGCGTCCGCCTGTAGCCCGGGAGCGTGCGGGGCTCGGGGACCCGGACGGGGACGCGGGAGCGCGGGAGGAGCGGCCGAGCCGCGGGGCAGAGCGCGGCGGGAGCTCCGGGCCCGCCTCCCGAGGTGCCGCCGCGCCGGCCGCGCCTCCCCTCCCGGGGCTCCGCGCCCCCTCCGCGCCGCCCGCCTCTGTCTCCAGCAGCGGAGGCGCAGGCTGGGGCCGCTGGGGGGGGGGGGGGGCGGCGGCGGAGCTTTTCTATTTACAAGTTTCCCCAACTCCCCGCCCTGGCTCCACCCCCAGCGGCTCGGGAGGCGGGGAGGCCGGCGCGCCCCGGACTCGGGGTTCCCGCCCGGCCGCTGCAGCCTCCCGGGCGGGGCGGCGGGTGCGGGCCGGGCCGTGCGCGCCCAGGTGCGGACGCCGCGCGCGGGGCGCCTCCGCGGGGGACCCAAGGGCGCCGGGGCGCTCGGGCCAGGGCTCCCCCGGGCTGCGCCTCTGCACGCCCCCCTCCCCGGAGGAGGAGGAGGAGCCGCGGGTGAGTGCGGGGTCGAGACCCGTCCGGCCGCCCGGCGCGCGCGGCGGGGGTGTGGGGCGGGGGCGGAGGGGACGGCGAGAGCGCCGCGCTCCGAGGCCGGCGTCTCCGGGGCTGCTGCCGAAGGCGGTCTCGCGGGGTCCGCGCAGCTGGCGCGGCGGGGGCGGATGCGGAGCGCCCTGGAGCTGTCACCTTGAAGGTGACCGGGGCGGGGGGGGGGGCGCTTGCAGCAGAGAGTGGCCGGGCTGTGCTGGCAGCCGGAGGCCGCCCGCCACACACGCGCCCCGCCGGGCCCGGCCGCCCCAGCCTCCTGGCGCTGCGGGTCGCTTGGGCCCATCCTCGGCGTAGGCACCCAGGGCTGCGGTGGGGCTCGAGGGAGGTTGCCGCAGTTCCCAAGGCCCCCTCGCGCCGTGCCTCCCTCCTTCCTGCAGCTGCCTGGTGCTTTTCTAGCTCTCTAGAAAAATCTACACCTGAATCCAGTCACCCGATTGACTGCTACGCTGCACTAATTCTTGGACTTGTGGGTTGACCCCTTAAATTCTCCTTTTTCAAGACTTACTGCAAGTGTGACTAAGTTATTTGTTGACTTTGACTTAGCATGATCTTGGAGTAGGAATGGAGAGATTCTGCAGTAGCCTGCAATAAAGTTTCACCTACTCTGGGAACTACTACTGAGAACTTCGTAGTTTGTGTGCTAAGAAAGGAAATCCAGGGTGTCGTGTTTGAATAAAATCAAAGTCTTCTGCCAAACGGTGGTGGGGGTGGGGAAATGACAGGCTTCACGTTTTGCCAGGTGATGGGATTTCAATCTTCAACAAGCTAAATCCTTATCCCTGGGCGTGGAGGGTGGGGTGCAGGTGTTAGGAGGAGAGGGAAGGAGGGGGAACCTTCCAGGAGGGAGAGGAAAAAAAGGAAACAAGGCGCTGCTTCCTGGGAACCTGTGACCTCCTTAAGGAGTCTAGATACACCAGATAGCAGTGTGTGGTTAACCCGAAGAGAAACTGAAGAGTTTGGAAATGCAATAGAGTAGACCAGCTTCTTTTTCAGGGATAATTAGGGCAGGAATTGGACAACTTAAGTTGAAACAATGATGCCTTATTTACATGGTGCTTTGCAATGTGTAAAATGCTTTTATGGACTTTTTTTTTCCTCTTAAATACAGTATTCCATGAGGAAAGCTATACAAAGAAATGCTTAGAACTACTTATCCTTAAAACAAACTTAGTGGAATGGAGTTTAAATTAATATGTATTATTTATTTAACTTGTGCCAACTTTTCCCTCTTTTAAAAATCAGAATTGTAGAGAAAATAGTGCTTGTAGAAGATCTGCACCTTTTAATTCTGTATCAAGTAATACATTATTACAGTTTTGGATTATTTCATAAGGTTATAAAGTTCTAGCTAGATTTCTTTTTCAGTATTTCAGTTATTAGACTGAAGCATTTAGGAAGCATGTCATGTCATAGTCCTCTTCTGTTGGCCTTGTTCTCTGTATGCTTGTTGTATAAAAATGGGTAGATTCAGAAAAAGTAGGAGTTAAATAATTCCACTACCCAAATATCACATTATTTTCTTTGTGCTTGATAATAGAACATAGAGTTTTTTTTTTACAGTTATATAGTTTATACAAATAACACTGTTGCATGCTGACTTTTTTCCTGCTTAGCATGAGGGAAAAGTTTCCAGGTCACTACAGTTCTCCAGGTATCTTATTTTAGTGGCTACATAATGTTACATTATAATGAGGTAACAAATTATTTATAAGCTGAATTTTATTTCCAATTATTATTAAATATACACTGTTGCAACAAATATCCCTTATAAAACTTCATCTACAGGGCATATTTCCTTAGGATGTAGTCTTTGAAATACAGTTTTTGGCTCAAAGATATAGAGGGACCATTTGCTTTGCCCCCCCCCCCAAAAAAAAAGTCTTACCCAAGTATGATCCCGCCAACACTCTGAGTACCTGTGTTACTATATGCTTGTTAATAAAGGGGGAATCATTCTTAAAAGGAAAAGTAATTCTTCCAGCTTTATAAGTAAACAGTGCTGTCTTGATACCTAAATTTCCAGGTTGGTTTTGGGAATAGCAGGCACAAGTAGGAGGAATGGCAGAGGGAGATGGAGATGCAGGCAACCTGCTGAGCCGGGAGCCCAATGTGGGGCTCAATCCCAGGACCCTGGGATTAGGGCCTGAGCAGAAGGCAGGTGCTTAATGGACTGATCCACCCAGGCGCCCCTACTAAATTTCCAGTGATTTAATTACAAATCATGAATATCCAGAGAATTTAGTTATTTTTCACTTTTATTCACTTTTTTGAATGTAGTGCCAAATTTCTTCTGCTAGTTTGTTAGTATTTTTCTAGTTATAAGAACTTTTATGGATTAATAATAAAGTTTTGCGTTCTTATTGTAGATTTTTACCCCATAATATCTTGGCCTTTTAAAGACCAATACCATGTATTTATAGTGGTTTTGACTTCGAGATGTTCTATAATGTAGTCAAGTCTGTTGACTTTCTCAACAAAATCAACACTTCTGAATCATAGCTTCAGAATTGGGTGATGATGGCAGGCGATGACTTTTAAGAGAATCTCACCCCCCCCCCCCCTCAAATTCTGAGTCAGACTTCTCAAATCCAATAGAACAACCTCCAGGTCCTGGAGTAGAGACTGTTGCAAACCAGATTGGGTTTGTTGATAAGAAATAGTTGTGCATGCTATAGACCATTAGGAACAACATTCTTCAAAATCAGAACAAAGTTTTAAATCCCAGGAAATGTTCCAGATCCGTTGTTCGGTGATTATGTAAATATGTGATTAGGCTCACAAACCATTTTTATTGATTTGTAGTAGATTCGTTTGTAGTGTTTTGCTAGATTGTACAATCATTACAGTTCATACTAAATTGTTGATGCATCTTTTCTTGATGTCTAGATAATGTATATATTTAAAATTTTTCCCAAGTTTCCAACACTATTCACAGATGAAACTATGGGTAAGCAGCCTGATTTTTCCAAACTTGAGTTACCTTTCCATACTAAAGAAGCTTAAATATATCCTGAGAACTTCTAAAAGCCTTGCTGAGCATATTCTCCATCTCTTAGGGCCCCCAAAGAAGCCACCAGACCATGTAGGAACCTTGAAGATGAAGCTGGTGTGTTTGTGTTTGAGGGTGTGTTTAAAAAAAAAAAAAGCCCAAACTATCTCTGGAGGCAGGTGAGCCTTCTAGGAGATGACTGCTACTTGCCTGGCAGGGACCTGGGCAGCTATGGCTTTGGCCTTTGGAGAAGTAAGGAGTGACTGAGGATATGTGATCCCATGCTGCAGGGAAAGAATTAGGTCATATGGGGTAGGACTTCACTGGCCTGAATTTTTTTTTTTTTTTTCAGAAAACCCTGCTTTTATCAGGGTTTCCCCATACTTTGGGAAATCTGTTATAACCAGTAGCTGAGTTCAATTGGCAACTACTTCTAAAGATGTATTTTTCTCAATCAAGTTTATACAAGATATCTCTGATTTTTTTTTTTTAAGAAATGATAGCAGTATTATTTGAAATCTTCTGTGTGGGCAGTTATCCATGATATTAATGCATGACTTTTTTCTTATTCACTTGACTCAGGATGAAAAGACTTTTACAGTTGAGGGTGACGTATTTGAGGGTTAATCTTTACTGTGTAGGTAAATACAATAAAACTTCATTCCCATATACCATAAGGTATTTTGCGATTTGCGTAAACAATATACATCAGGGTAATCACAATCAAGGAAGAGAGGGTTTGCTCAACAAATAGAGAATAATAAGATTGAATCTAGAGGTGTTAGGTAAATAGCTTTCAATCACTTCAGAATTCCATTTTTGGAATCTTTGATTCCAAAACAACTTTATGTATTAAAGCTGGTAGATTTTCTGTAGCCTGCAGTTTAAGCCCGATATTGAAGAGAAAATACTTAAACTGTACTGCATCTTGTTAATAGGCTCATGTCTAAACTTAGTGTTCTGTGTACGTATTACTTGCATGAGTAAAAGTAAGAAAAATCACACAACCCTCCATTCTCACATAGAAGTTTTATTTCATTTTGAAGTTGTAAAACTAAGTAGGTTTAAAGTCACTTAAAAGTTCTTTTGAGGAGACCTGTTTACTTTTTAGTAGGCTTGATTCCATTCATTTTGAGCAGTGAAAGAAGATCACATGCAGGTCATAAGCTTCTCAAACTAGCTGCAAAGGGCAAAATGGTTGCTGAGAAATTACTTCCAGGTAATGTGAATTTTGCCTGAAATTGTAATGATTTCATGTTTCAGTAAGAGTTCAGCTAAGTGGAAGGGCAGATCTGGCCAGCTTCCCACCATGTGCACACAGCAAGTGAAAGAGCAGACTGGGAAGAAAATGGACTGAGGAGACCCCAGTCTTAGAGACCCCAGTTTGAGAGGCAAGATGCCGTGAAAAGAGGGGTTTAAAACCATCAAATTCCTTATTTTCACTCTTCTACATTCTTATAAGTATTTGTACCTTGTCAATTTATACTTACACTGAATGCAAAGAAAATTGGTGCGTATGTTCGTTGGCTAATCAACCATGATTCAGCTGATCTTCTATGATTAAAACATTCCAGGACATGTGTGTCCTGAATTGGCATTGAGAAAGCAGTTCTTGAGAAGAGTAGGAAGGAGATGTGTAAAAATATATTCTGTTTAAATAAGCGTAGAGCTTATATAATGTCTGTGGCTGTGTTCCTTATGTCTTGACTGTTGAGTTGTTTAGCTTTATACTTTTTTTGCATTGGAAAAACTTGGTAATATTTAACTTGGGGATTATTTACATATATACCAGTATTGAAGAAAATGTCACTATTTCTTTATTTCAGGTGAGTGGTTCATACATGTTTAGAAGTATTCAGCGACAAATGAAAAATTCTCTTATCTCTGTTTTCATGATTAACAATAATATCAAGTTAAAACTGCATGTTCTTTTAAAACCTAGCTCACTTGGCTAGCTGCA